GATCGATACAGGATATAGACTATCTCTTTCTTTATTCGATCTTTTTCTGAAAAAAAAAGAAGGGTGACTCAACTTCTCAGCTAGAGTTGGGGGTGGGACTTGTTGGCATAATGCAAGCTGGAACGTGGGAATTCGAGGTATCATGAACTACTACTAAAAACCAACTTTTTTTCTTTTTGGACAAACGATATCAGGTCAGGTCTATGGATGGATCCAGATCTACGGGCCGGCCGGCCCCGGCCGATGAGCATAGGGAATCTATACTCGAGCGTTCAACTGGGCCCCTGACAGGATAGGTGAGGAATCTTGATATTTTTTATTGGGGCCTACAACTTCTCCGAGCCGACTAGCATCCCTTTCCACTGCGCATTTCTCGAACAAAGAAGACGACTATAGGATCAAATTCGCTTTCCATGGTGAACTGGTCGTCCCATACCTTCTGCTGTCTCATATGTGTGGAACCAGGTCTTTTTTCGGTTCCAGCCCCCCCCCCCTTGAATACATAGGTAGGACTGGGTGAGAAAGGGTTCCCTGTTGCCAATAAACTTCCCCGGCCTTCAATTCCCCTTACTCATAAAGGGTCTTACGGTCGGTACTAACTAAAGAAAAAGAGTCTTCTTTCTAAGAGTAGGTGTGGAGAGCTTTTTTCGGGGAAACTTGCAAGTACAGTTTGGGGGGAGACGGGCGTCGACCCAACCTTATGAGTATTCAGACTATAACAGTTCCGATGAACAGTCACTCACTTTTGACAGTTATACGATTCCAGAAGATGATCTAGAATTGGGTCAATTACGTTTATTAGAAGTGGACAATCGAGTGGTTGTACCAGCCAAAAGTCATCTACGTATTATTGTAACATCTGCTGATGTACTTCATAGTTGGGCTGTACCTTCCCCAGGTGTAAAATGTGATGCTGTACCTGGTCGTTTAAATCAAACCTCTATTTCGTACAACGAGAAGGAGTTTACTATGGTCAGTTCAGTGAGATTTGTGGAACTAATCATGCCTTTATGCGTGCGCCGGAAAGATAGGCCGACTGCTGAGCCCACTCTGGCTCAGCCGCACCACCCAGGGTGCGAGCCACCCGAGAAGCAAGCTATTACAGCGAGCGGCTGGAGCAGTATGGAGCCAAGGAGCAAGGCAGTAGATAAGATAGAAGAAGGGGTCAGGCTCCCGGTGGAGCAGAGGATACGGTTAGGATAACGAACTTGAAACGCGGAGCCCGAGCGTCCGGCGAGCGAGTGGTTAGTGGCCAATAGCGCCCTAGTTGATGGCATTCCTCTCTGCGGCTGGCACTCGAGGAACCACGGGGCACTCCATACAGAGCAAACAAGTCTTAGGGATGAGACGCCCGCGCAAGGACCTCAATTCTCATTAGGAGGTCGAACCAAGGACCTATGGAAGTCGGGGCTAGCCCGTCCCCATGGGCAACGCAACAGTGTCCTGAGGGAGGAGTTTAGAGGCCTTATAGTAGCACGGACTTCTTTTTATTTCTAGGTCATGCGAAGGGGGCCAGTCCAAGATCGTACTGTTCCTCTACAAAGACAACAGACGCTCTCAACGGCTAGGCGCCACTCTCTTTCTGAGTTATTCCAGCTTCTTCATGATTTCGTGCCGCGGTGAACAAACAAAACAAAAAAGAGGGCCATCTCAGCGGAAGGAGAAGGACCTGCAACGGCAGAGACTACTGACCCTATTCTTGTTCCTAGCCGTCTTTTACGAGTCCGGAAAGCCTCCTCAGAGGGATCCTAAAAATAGAATAGAGAAGGGCGGGCAGGGCTTCCGCAAGAGCCTCCCCCCTCTTCCCGGTCAAGATAGATGGGAAGGAGCCCTATCAAGGCCATAACCAGTCTCTTTATTTATGTACGTACACCTTTGTTTCAGGGTGGGGCCGCCCTTCCTCCTGCTAATCCGGCCATTTCCGAACCTGTCTTTCTCATCCCATTCAATGGAGGACTTTTCAATTCTTGCGATTCCCAGCCCCTTAGCTATATATATATATATATATATATATATATATATATTATTTGAAAAGGGTTCCGCTCGGCTAAATAGGCTCAATGATCTCTTTCTTCGCTTCGTTCGATAGGCCGCTCTGCGTGGTTATATTCATACATGTTCCGACTCGCCGGTCATTATGGATCTAGTGGCATGGCGGGGCAAAAGAAAAAAGGGGGGGGGAAGCAACTACGAAGCTTCGTAGACTCGACAAGTCGCTCCGCTTATAGAATATAATGAAGCAAGCTAGCGACTCTCCTAGTAGCGAAGGAAAGGGGCATTCGGGAAGCGACTAGTCGCTTCTGGCGAAGCTTCTAGAAGGCCGACCACTACATAGAGAGATCCATATACCAGTCATGAGCGATAGCGAAGCCTAGAGAGGCGCAGGGCAGGATCCAAGAGCTTAGAAAGGGTCAGGAAAGGAGCAGAGAAGGGGTTGGATTTCACCTATGATCAGATCAGTGGGCAACCATAGTTTACTTTTTTCGTAGTGTTGTTAACGTTGTTGAAAGCTCATTACTTATTTAAGTAGGCCTCGCTTTTCGAGCTGCTCCCAGCTCACACTATGGTGGAGGAGGTGCCGTGAAGATCTAGGAGTGTGAGCAGTACGAGCTGAAAGGCTCCCATACTGTTTGGAGGGCAGGGGGCATAGATGCCAAACAAACCTGACCCCTATCTATCGTCGTAGAAGCTGTTCCTAGGAAAGATTATGGTTCTCGGGTATCCAATCAATTAATCCCCCAAACCGGGGAAGCTTAAGCGGAAATGAAAGGGTAGGGTGAGGGAAAAGAAAAGGGGGAAGCAACTAAATTGAAGGCTTCGCTCCCAGATCGCTTCGTGAGCTCATTTAGTAGACAGCGAGTGTGCGCCCCTTTAGAGAAGAGATAGGGGCGAGTACTACACGAGCTCGTAAGTCAAGTACGGAACGAGCCTTGTCTACGAAGCAGAGCGACCTCGTCTTGCTTGCTTCTGGCGAAGCTTCTAGCACTGGATAATAGGCATGGCAGGAATACGACTTTTTAGGTCGACCACTACACTACATAGAAGCGATAGCGAAGCCAAGCCGTATAAAGGCGAGCAGCCCTTATAGCAATAGCAAACGGCCTACTTATAGCCCTTCCCAATTTCCAGTAGTAAACTTCCCAAGTTTAAGCAGGATAACCCCCTCTCTATTCTTCTCTTCATGTATGTGGGCTGCCTGCCCCGTCCGAATAGACGAACAGGAACAAGCTGAAGAAGCGAGAGAGATTTGAGATTCCGTAAGTAACTCAGTGCTAAGAAAGAAGGGCTTGGAAGAAGAAAATGAAATACGAACAACCGCGCTGGTTGTAATAGATCGACTTTCATGCTAGTTCTTGCTCCAGCATGAAAGTTCCATTTCAGGGAAGGACGACGTACTATGATACTTTCTGTTTTGTCGAGCCTTGCTTTGGTCTCTGGTTTGATGGTTGTACGTGCTAAAAATCCGGTACATTCCGTTTTGTTTCCCATCCCAGTCTTTCGCAACACTTCAGGTTTACTTCTTTTGTTAGGTCTCGACTTTTTCGCTATGATCTTCCCAGTAGTTCATATAGGAGCTATAGCCGTTTCATTCCTATTCGTTGTTATGATGTTCCATATTCAAATAGCGGAGATTCACGAAGAAGTATTGCGCTATTTACCAGTGAGTGGTATTATTGGACTGATCTTTTGGTGGGAAATGTTCTTCATTTTAGATAATGAAAGCATTCCATTACTACCAACCCAAAGAAATACGACCTCTCTAGATATATGGTTTATGCCGGAAAGGTACGAAGTTGGACTAATTTGGAAACATTGGGCAATTTACTTTATACCTACTATTCCGTCTGGTTTTTGGTTCCTAGTCTGATTTTATTAGTAGCCATGATTGGGGCTATAGTACTGACTATGCATAGGACTACTAAGGTGAAAAGACAGGATGTATTCCGACGAAATGCTATTGATTCTAGGAGGACTATAATGAGGGGGATGACAGATCTACTAAAGGAAGTAGCTTGATATTGGTTCGAATCCAATTCGTGAGATGGCCATCTTGGTCATATAGATGTCTTGACACCCTGATTTTATTTTCTCATTTTCGAATGACTGTCCCATTCCATTTTTGGTAGAACTTCAAGCCTGGACCCGCTATACGATGTATTAGTAGAACCCCTGGGATACGACGCCCTGCTCCTTGAGTATCCTGGGATTGAATACCCCGACCTCCCGGAGGCTCCCGAGAAAGCTATTTCAGCCTTCCGGACAGTTAAGGGCAATTCATACGCCCCTCATCGATCTGAATCCCCACCCCCGCATAACACTTACTATATTTTTCAAGAAAAACTGAAAAAACGCTTCACTTCCTGACCTTATTCTCGAGTAGGAAGGGTTCTCGCTACTAAATAAATTTCTTCAGTTGAAGTAGCTCTTTCCTGAGATGTCTTTCAAGCTGAAGAAGTAAGGGCTTCTCCAGCGTAAGCAGGTTTAGGACCAAGGGCAGGGTCTAAGGCAGTATCGATCGAAGGTGCCCCTAGGGATATGGCTATTTCTTCTCGTTCAGCTTCTCCAATATCCGTTGTTTTAGGACTTGAACTAGATAGGGAAGTTTCCTTCTTTTTTGTTGAGGCTCATTCCGGAGCATCCCGCGCATCTCTGTCAAGCCCTCCAACCTCTTCTTTCTTGGTATATGCTGTCTTTCCTCAAGGCTAAACCCAAAGGTATCTAAGGGAATCAAACCCAGCTTTTCAGGTAGCTGCTTCAATTGCATGCATCTCACCCCCACGCTCGTTCGTTCCCCACGCTCGGTTGACTTGCCATATTAGTCTTACAATACGCTCAATTCAAATGAATATGATAAAGTCTAATGACATCTCACACCACCATATAAAAGAATAGCATCTCACACCACCAAAGGTAGACTGTCCTCAAGTAGAAGTCTTTGCTGCTGAAGCTGGTTTTATGAAGAATCCCGGGGAAAGGTGCTTAGGCTGTTTCAGTAAAGTAAGTCAAGTAAGTACTCGGATGGGATAAGTGCCATATAAAGAGTATTCTCACTCTAAGTAAGGAAGTACCTTAATTATATAAGTATGTTCCGCTTCTGCTTTCCCGGTTAGTTCGAAGTTAAACTTTTTGAATCGAAACGAACAGATGACACAACGTTCCCAACCACGTCATGAGAAAATAGTTCTAGTAAAGAAGAAATCCCGTAGAGTATGTGAACTAAGACATTCAAGCTAAACCTAGTTTATCGGATATCAGACTTTCAAGTAGAATGTCAGAAGTAGAAGAAGGGAGTGAGGCATTAACGAGTATCCTAAAATCGTGTGAGTAAGAAAGCCCCTTTTGACTATCTATCTATAACTGGGGAGTTCTCTGAAAGCAAGGGAGTGAGCGGATAATAGCCCCCGGCGATTGAGGGGAAAGAGTCTGTTGCTGCGTCCCCTGCAGTGTCATTAAAGCCAGTAAAGGTAAAGAGAGAAGGTGCCCTTGTTGATTATTCATATTCGAATGAGAAACTAACTGCAGACGAGTCTCTGGGATATGAGCAAAAGGTAAGAGATCAAACCGCTTCTGCCGCTGCTTCGGGATAAAGGGATTCTCACTCCAAGTAGGGAATTTTCTCAGTAATAGGATAGATGAGTCTCGGAAGTCAGAACAAGGCCCTGGCATCTATGCCAAGTGAAGCCTCATGAATAAGTATAAGGAGAGATGAAAGCCAAGTAAGTAGCTGCAGTCGCAGGTGTCTTTTCTGTGTTTAGGAGTTCTTCTTCGTTTAGTTTCGGAATCTGGTTAGGGAGTTTCACTCTGGGATGGGCCAAATGCTGCTAAGGTATCGCCGTTTGAGAGGAAAGAGTGAGAAGCACTAAACAAGAGAGAAAACCCTATCTATCTGGAGATATACCTGAAAGCAAGGAAGTGCATCACGGGTGTGGGGCACTACCGCTTATCCTTTCACACACCAGTAACACGGGCTGCATTATGTCCTCAAGTATCTGCTCTAGTAAGGAAATAGGTGAACAAGTCTGCTATTCCTGACTTTCAAATAGGTATAGAAGGAAGAGAGTAAGGAGTTGAGTCCCGTCGATGTAGGCTAGAAGAACAATCCGTCTCATATGCAGGACAGTCTAGTATCCATATCTTGAATAGGAGTTAGTGTGCATGGTCAATTCCATCTTTCCGCTGAAGGAGAATCCAATACCAGTACTCAAATAGTAAGTATCGAGAGTACGATAGTGATTAGCTGTCGAAGGCGATGAAGAAAGGAATTGGCTTGCTAGAGGACTTGCTATATTTTGTTGGCGTTCAGTGAACCGATCCAGCCTTTGTTTGAGCCGGTGGGTTGTGATTGAGCTTAGCTTGGCAGATCTCGCACCGTAATGCTAGTGCTTATTTACGAAAAATAGATTGTTGGTATGGCAGCAGCTACCAAAAGCACACTAAGTTAGTCACAGGTAGAAACCTATGAGCTCTACTAGCTCTCCGACTCTATAAACTTGTCTGTCCGGCCCATTTACCCCATCTTTCTTGCTTGCTATGAGCGTTGTTACTGCTACTCAGAACGGTCTTTCTTTGCCGGTTGCCGAAGGCTCTTAAAACCGACAGAATGACCCGGTAACGTTGCACTCCATCGGCTGATTTAGCAGCAGTAGCATCAGTGGCTTGGCTTTTCGGGCTGAAGGAAGAATCCTAGGGTGGAACCAGAAATCAACGGATAGAACCGATTCAACAGGGACTGAAGCTGACAAGCGATAGCCAAGTTAGGTGTAGGAAGGAAGATAAGCATCCAAATCCTCTTTTTATTCCTTAGCTTAGTCTGCTCTTAACACTTCTCGCTAAGTCCAATAAAAT